AAACACGGAACTGCAGTTATTCGACGTCGTCGTTGATGCTCCTCTTTTGCTCTCGGCACTTGCGGCGCTGGCTCGGAGAGGCTTTTCCAAAGCCTTCACCCAACCCTAAACCCTAAACCCTGAACCCTAAACCCTAAACCCTAACATTTGGGTGTGCACATTCCCACCGGAGCACGCCAATTCCAGATGAACGGTTGCTGCTTCACAGCAAGGTTCAAGTCACTGTGCCCATTCTTAGAGATCTTTGTGGAAATCTTTGGCGGCAGGAAAACCCACGGTCATAAAACAGCTGTCAAAGGCAGCACTAGCAGGGAGGCAGAGGACCTGGCTCGACAAAAAGCAAAGTCAACGAGCATGAGCAGAAAACCTAGAAGAAAATGGAACGGAAAATACGGCCAGAGCACATGAAGATGATCCTCAGTGCTCGGGGAGGCGAGCGAAACCACCAAGGTCCTGGCTCAAAACCACGCCAGCTCGTCGAAGAATGAACGAAGCCAGGGGCCCATGGAAACGGCAAAGACTTCCGTACCGAAAGAAGAGGCGAGGAAAGGCTGCAGAACAGGGACAGTGAGAACATGTCGCGATTATCTCCCCCGGCCTCCCCCCCCCCACCCCGAAGTCCTGCAGTAGTGCCTTCCGACCCAAGGCGGAATACGAGCCGTGGGCCAAAAAAACTACAAGGCCAACTTCTTGGTTTTTCCTGTTAGGTCAGTTTGCTTGCTATCTGCTTGCAATTAGAGTCCAACTTTACTCCCAATTTAGGGCGTTTTCCATAAAACTCTACTTCAACTTGATGTAGTTCTCTATCGGATTTGACGCAGGGACCCCTGCCCGAACGGCTTCGGGGAGCCGCAATCCGATGCCGCGGGGGTTCCAGGTTGTGGGCCCCTCCTGCCCCGGGAGGGGCCCCTTCAAACCCTCCAACTTGGATTAGGGCTTCGGGTTTAGGGTTCAGGGTTTAGGGTTTAGGGTTTAGGGTTCTGGTTTCGGGTTTCGGCTTTCGGGTTTAGGGTTTAGGGTTTAGGGTTTCGGGTTTCGGGTTTCGGGTTTCGGGCTTCGGGCTTAGGGTTTAGGGTTTAGGGTTTAGGGTTTAGGGTTTAGGGTTTAGGGTTTAGGGTTTAGGGGGGGCCCTCTTGAACCCAAAAAGAGACCCCTGAAAGCCCAACAGCGTGCGCCTGATGGGTGCCCAGGCTCGGAAGGCTCCCCCACATGGGTGGGGCCAGACCCAGCTTGCTCATCTTGAACCTGTTTAGGGTTTAGGGTTTAGGGTTTAGGGTTTAGGGTTTAGGGTTTAGGGTTTAGGGTTTAGGGTTTAGGGTTTAGGGTTTAGGGTTTAGGGTTTAGGGTTTAGGATTTAAGGTTTAGGGTTTAGGATTTAGGGCTTAGGGTGGAACAGAAGTTCATACGGGGGCTGGGGTTCTTAGTATAAGGAGTCCTACTATTTGGGAATGTATCTTCGAGAGTCCTAGTGGATTCCCTTATTTAAGGCCCCTGTTGGGGTTACTACTGTGCGGTGGCCCCGAAGATTTAGGGCACCCAAAAGGGGAGCATAATTTTGAGAACTCACCCATATGGCTCTTTGAGAGTTTACCAAGGGGGAGAGGTTCATGGTTTCTCAACATGCCCTGGAACTCTCAAGAAGCTTCTCTACCAAGGCAACAGCCTCTTCAGATCTCCTCAAACGCAAACACGACCCCCCGTGCACGGCCCGAGACACCCTAAACCCTAAAACCTACACTAGCCCTAAACCCTAAACCCTAAAGCGCAAACCCTAAACCCTAAACCCTCTATACCCTATAAACCCTAAACCCTCTATACCCTATAAACCCTAAACCCTAAACCCTAAACCCTAAACCCTAAACCCTAAACCCTAACCCTAACCCTAAGCCGGAGCTGCTCGTCCATCGTCATGTCCGAGAACTCATTGAGGCCGAGTTTGTAGGAGTGGCCCTGCGGAAAGGAAGATCCGACCAGCGAAAGAGCCGTCACAAGCTGTCCTTTCACCAAATACAAATGGGCATTTCCCAACATAGGTGGTACCCCCTTGTACTCCCCAAATAGAATAGAATCCCGGAATCCCCTTAAAGGGGACCCCCCCCCCCCTCCCTCCCCCCCGCAAAAAAAAAAGGGGGGGCACCCCTATTTTCGGAAGCCCTCATAAATGGCCAAACGTTCGGACTTGGAGCTCATCCAGTTGTCCGAAACCACTGCGTTTTCATGGCCCCCCTGAGAACTCGGCCCCTTCCCAGGGACACCAAAACCCCTTTAATGTCACAATGAAGGGTTCCTTGTATGGGGGCTTACGGAAATTAGGGGACCCCTAATATAGACCCCCAAATCGTAGAGTTCCCTCAAGGAGTATTGGAGTCTCTGGGCCCACTTGCCTTGGCATTCTCCGCCGCAATGTACTCATAGTTCTCAGCAAATGCGGCGAAGCGAGCCTGTGCAGAGCAAAAGGTTATCAAAACAACCAAGAGAAAAGAGCAAGGCTTTTCAGACCCAGAATTTTTCGACCCTCAACCCTCAACCCTCAGCCCTAAACCCTAAACCCTAAACCCTAAACCCGAAACCCGAACCCTAAACCCTAAACCCGACACCCACCTTGGGCCACTGAAGTCAAAACGGCCCTGAGAGTAGACGTTTAGGGCCTAGGGCTTAGGGCTTAGGGCTTAGGGTTTAGGGTTTAGGGTTTAGGGTTTAGGGTTTAGGGTTTAGGGTTTAGGGTTTAGGGTTTAGGGTTTAGGGTTTGGGGTTTGGGGTTTAGGGGTTAGGGGTTAGGGGTGGGTTAGGGGTTGGCGGTTAGGGAATAGGGGTCAGGGTTTAGGGTTTCGGGTTTAGGGTTTAGGGTTTAGGGTGATTTAGGGCATTTGGGTCTTGGATGTTTATCCTGGCATTGGGGGGGGTCCCAAGATTAGGGTACCTAGTTTAGGGGTTCGTTTAAAAGGATTGCAGTATTTGGGGGCATAGTGCCCACGAGGCTTTCTCCTGGCGTTCGCCTCCAAAGGATATGCAGTTTGCTGTACCACCCTTCAGAAATGCTCCCTTGGACTGAAGCCACTTTGCAGAAATCTTCCAAGAGAGAGAGAGAGAGAGACACACACACACACACACACACACACACACACACACACACACACGCACCAGCTTTGCGCCACCTGCTTCTCAACGTCGTCGTAGTCCTTCTGAAAGTCCTTCAAGAACCTAGGCACGTGCACAAGCGCGGCATCTGCACCGCTAAGGTGGCACCACTGCAATTTCCGGGCGCTGAGATGCCTTAACACATCTTGCTAGCCCTGAACTTCGCCCTAGCACACGAAGCGCGGCGAGAAGAGTCGGAAGACTTCCAGTAGGCTCAGCAGCGGGGGCTTCCGGGAATCGGCAGACGGGCTTTAACCCAGCGATAGTCTGTGGCACTTGACTTAAGGTCTGGGATCTTCCCCCTTATGCTAAGAGTCCTTAGTATGGATTATCGTACCCCCTGCAATGATCACCATGAAGGACTGATAGTGTCAGGGGGAACTAAAATACTTCGGGTCGGGCTTGTGCGTCAAGGGGCTGGTCGAAGGCCTTCTGGATGTCTTCACGGGGCTGCTGGGCCTCCGAAAGGTTTGTTTAGGATTTGGGGTTTAGGGTTTAAGGTTTAGGGTTTAGGGTTTAGGGGGTAGGGGTTAGGGGTTAGGGTTCAGCAGACACCCAAACACAACAGCAACAAATCACTGCCGCAGGTAGAAAGTCACAAGCACATGGAGAGCCGAAAGTAACCCCTACCCCGCAACTTTGGCCTCCACGAGCCCGAGCAACGCCAAGGCAGCGCCCAACACCTCTGCAGGGTTTAGGGTTCAGGGTTTAGGGTTTAGGGTTTAGGGTTTAGGGTTTAGGGTTTAGGGTTGAGGGTTGAGGGTTGAGGGTTGAGGGTTGAGAGTTGAGGGTTGAGGGTTGAGGGTTGGGTTGAGGGGTTAGAGGCCAGGGTTTAGGGTTTTCCGAGCTTTGAAAGTTTTCGGGGCTTGCAGTGCTTGAAGGTTTTGGGGTTGGATGCGCTTTCTTCGATGGTGCTGTTCCGCATGCCATGACGAGGACCACCCCGCGCACATCCCTGGAGAGCAAGTGCAGCTCTGTGAATCAGGCTCAAGCGTTCACCCAGACCAACGCAAACAAACAAACAAACAAACAAACAGACAAACAAACAAACAAACACACAAACAAACAAAACAAAAAAAGGCAAACAAAACAAAACAAAACAAACAAACAAACAAACAACCAAACAAACAAATGAAAACAAACAAATGAAAACAAACAAATGAAAACAAACAAATGAAAACAAACAAATGAAAACAAACAAATGCAAACAAACAAATGCAAACAAACAAATGCAGCAAACAAACCAATGCAAACAAACCAATGCAAACAAACCAACAAACAAACAAACAAACAAACAAAGAAACAAACAAACACACACACACACACATACACACATACAGACATACACACATACAGACACATACACACATACACACATACACACATACACACATACACACATACACACATACACACATACACACATACACACATACACACATACACACATACACACATACACACATACCCACATACCCACACACACACACACACCTCTACCTACCTTTTGTTGCCCTGTCCAGGCCTTCACCATTTTCTTCCCAGCGGACAGCCGAGTGGAGCACCACAGAGAGCACACAATAGGGCTGCGGAAGCTGCGGACGCATGGGCTCAATGAAAACCTCGAAAAACCTGCTCAGAGCTGCCCCCCACCTCCCCAAGAAAGGAACTGAAAATTGCAGAGATGTGCGAGGAACGTCGCTGCTGAATCACGGCGATAGACGGACATCATAGCAGGCTTAAGATAAATATATAACCAATATATATGTACATAGATACAGACATATATACTTATATATATATATATACATATGTAACTGTATATACATATATGTGTGACAGGAACGCTTGGAGGGGCACACCTGCCAGGGCCCCGGAATGAAGCTGAGCACGATGAGAGCAAAGAAGGCGGTGCCTGGGATGCGCAGAGAGCACAACCCTAAACTAACCCCAAACCCTAAACCCTAAACCCTAAACCCTAAACCCTAAACCCTAAACCCTAAACCCTAAACCCTAAACCCTAAACTCACCCTCAACCCACCCTCAACCCACCCTAAATCCACCCGAAACCCACCCTAATCCCTAAGCCCCACGCCTAAACTCTGAACCCTCAGCCCTACAACCTGAAATCTAAACTCTATGTGAATTCTGAGTCCTGAACCTTACGCCCCACCACTTAACCCAAGATCTAGGGTTTCGGGTTCAGGGCTTTGAGGGCTCGAGCTCTGCCTATGTCCATCCAAAAGAACGCATTCTCGCAATGGTTAGGTTTGGACAGCAACTGCATATCATATTCACGCAAACCTTGAATGAAAGATCTTGCCTTGTCATTCTAGCTTGCTTTGTCTGCACCCATGAGCGATAGATTAAACGTCTGCGTGTGTTATAGCTTCATCTGGGGTTAGGACTTGCGCTGTCAAGATGAAGATGTGCAAAGGTATACCATGCCCCTAGAGAGAATCTTCTGACCCTGGTGCAACGCTTTTGTGGCTCGGGCTTGCCGAGGCGGCAGTTATGAGTGACGGGATGGCCGAGCTGTCAAAGGCGCACGGCCAAGCACACCACATGTCCAATCGGCTTGCTCAGGCTTAGGAAGCCTGGGAGAACTTGCTGGATATACGGTTCCGTGTCACCGTGTCGACAGTCTCCCCCCCCATAGTATGCCCCCACCCCACCCACCCCCTAAAACCTCACGGAACTGAGTGAGTCCGTCGAGCAGGGCGAACAGGCCAGGGAGCTCGGGTAATGAGATTTACCCCAAACCTTCGGGCCAATTCGCAACTCCCTCTCACAGTCTCCCCCAGGTTCCTACGACCTGCTTGGATTTGCCGTGTGTTTTTTCTGGGGAGGCCCTGGAACGCCAAGGCCAGCCCCCACCGCCTTGGCAAGCCTTCGAAAAGATTTACATCCTGCCTCTAATCAAACTGCATGTTTCACTGTCACTCCCCCAGCAGAAACACAAATGAAAGAAGGCGAGGGCGCGATCAGAAAGCAACGAAACCCTCAACCCGCAAAGGCCAAGACGAGGGTGGAGCGCAAACGGGGGCTGGGAATACAAAAGTCGGAATGCGCACCTGGGTGCCTGTCGCACCAGCTGGCCTATTTTTGATGACACCCTACCCTAAACCCCAACGCCCTAATCCCTAAAACCTAAACCCTGCAACCCTAAACAAACTGGAAACCCTAAACCCTAAGACCCTAATATCCTAAAATTCTACACCCCTAAACTCTGGACACTAAACCCCCCAATCCTAATCGTAAACCCCCGGAACCACAACATATGGCAATCATTTTCCCAGTCTTAGTAGAAATATCCTTGCTAGAACAACGCGTGGCATGCTTCTCCGAACAAACCATGGGGTGCAGGTGCAGAAGCAGCATCGCTTAGCACCCTTTCTCTTCATCACTTGGCACCCCTAAACCCGAAACCCTACACCCTAAACCCTAGACCCTAAACTCAAGAATCCCGTGGCCGCTTTTGCTTGTTTGAGTATGGTAGCTACTGGTGGCCTGGGTTTTGGCCCCGCCCAAGCCTAAAGCCCTAAACCCTGAACCCAGAAACCTATACCTAAGCCGCAAACCCTGAAGGACCTTAGCCCGAAAGGGCCTAACCCAAAACCCTAAGATGTAAACTCTTGACCCGAAGGGCCAAGTGAGCTAGACAAAAGTGGGTCCGGGGTCTAGAGTTTAGGGTTTAGGGTTTAGGGTTTAGGGTTTAGGGTTTCGGGTTTAGGGTTTAGGGTTCGGGGTCTGGGGTTTGGGGTTTAGAGTTTAGTGCTTAGGGTGTGATCCCGGCAACTCGAAGGTGCCAAGTGAAGGAGAACAACAAAAAAAAAGTCTCCACCGCTGCCCAGAGTCTGGAACCTCTGAGTCCCCAAAACCCTAAACCCGAAACCCTAAACCCTAAACCCGAAACCCTAAACCCTAAACCCTAAACTTAGGCCCCCAAAACACATCCCTGCACCCCCGAAGGGGACATCAACCTCCCAGAACCTGAGCTGCGGGTTAGGCTTTGGGGTTCAGGGTTCAGGGTTTAGGGTTTAGGGTTTAGGGTTTAGGGTTTAGGGTTTAGGGTTTAGGGTTTAGGGTTTAGGGTTTAGGGTTTAGGGTTTAGGGTTTAGGGTTTGAAGGGGTTCCAGGTTATAAGTCCCCTCCTTTTGCCTTTTTCAACAAGTCAGGGGTGGCTGCACTTGCTGCTGATGTCATTCTTGTACGTCTATCTCCACGACAGTCGGTTTCGGGTTTAGGGTTTCGGGTTTAGGGTTTAGGGTTTAGGGTTTAGGGTTTAGGGTTTAGGGTTTAGGGTTTAGGGTTTAGGGTTGAGGGCTTAGGGCTTAGGGTTTAGGGTTTAGGGTTTAGGGTTGAGGGCTTAGGGCTTAGGGTTTAGGGTTTAGGGTTTAGGGTTTAGGGTTTGCCTAAACCACCTAACTGGCTCCAATCTGGGAGACGGCACATGGAGCATCCAGGCGGTCTGGGCACCACCCACGCATTGCCGAACACGGGCGCTCAGACAGCTCAGACACTTACTGTTGGTTAGTAGGGAATGGGGGAACAAGGCACCATATATCCCTAAACCCTAAACCCTAAACCCTAAACCCTTTAAGGGATTTTGCATGGTACCTTATTCCCCCCACTTCCTTACTAGCCAACAGTAGGGACAGGCAGCTCTGGGATTTCCGATCTTGCCCCCCTTTATTAAAAGTGGCGCGCTGTTAAAACACCCGGAGCTTTCTACGCAAGCGGAGGAGCTCTCTGCCTGGCATGATGGGAGGTGCTGGGGTTTAGGGTTTAGGGTTTAGGGATTAGGGTTTAGGGTTTGGGGTTTAGGGTTTAGGGTTTAGGGTTTAGGGTTTAGGGTTTAGGGTTTAGGGTTTAGGGTTTAGGGTTTAGGGTCTAGGGTTTAGGGTTTAGGGTTTAGGGTTTAGGGTTTAGGGTTTAGGGTTTAGGGTTTAGGGTGTGTCAGGGGAGGGCGCGCGCTCAGGTGTGAAACACCCCGGGCCGCGCGCTCTCGTTGCCCGTCAACCCACCCCGGCCACCCAAACTATACTCTATTAGGGTTTAGGGTTTATGGACTTTTTCTTGTGCACCGATGCTTGCTTTTTGAAGTTGGTGTGGTTTCGGGTTTAGGGTTTAGGGTTTAGGGTTTAGGGTTTAGGGGTTTAGGGTTTAGGGTTTAGGGATAGGCGTCTGCCAGACGGAAAGACCGACTCGGTGCCGCTACGCGCGACGCTGGCGATTCCACGTCCTCAGGACTGAACAGGTCTGCCACGTCCATGCACATAATCCCAAACCCTAAACCCTCCACTCGTTTAAGGGGATTCTCTTCTATCGGGGGTATAAATGGGGTCACCCTAAACCCCAAACCCTCAACCCCCAACACCCTTTCAGATGTCTATGGTTCCAAACTGCTCGAGTCTCCAAAGGAGGAGCACACCTGGCACCCCGAACCCTTTGGAGACCTTACCCTCCGGCGCTGCCACACCAGGACGTTGCATGGTGTGAATTGTGTATTGTCATAAAAAAAAAAAAAAAAAAAAAAAAAAAGCGCAGCGGACTCAAGCGCTCTGATTCCGGGCCCCCAAGGGTGGGCCAAGCCGTAGCCGGTGGGGTCTCATAGGGCTCTCAAGTACTGGGACCGGACTGCCGGCTTCCAGAGCAGAAGGCCTTCGGCCTGGTGATTCGACGAACGGCCGACTCCGCCTCGTGCACTCGTGCAGGCAAGGCGGAAACATCGTTGGGCGGTTGAAGTGGGCCGCATCCCCGCTCCAAGCGCTGTAGCTACACACAGGACCTGATAATCTCAAGCGCCTTTTTGAAAATCCAGCCAGGCTCAGCAACCCCAGGCCACAGGCTCACATTGCGGCTTCGAACATTCGCTGCCTGAGGCAAGATTGGACGGCTAGGATCCCCCATACTTCGGTATAGTAAATGCATAGACACTAGAAAGAGTATATAGAGTATGTACTGTTGAAAGAGTAGAAAGAGTATGTACTGTTTATATATATATAATATCATATCATATACTATAATAAGAAATCATATACTATGATGATGTAATGGATTTGAATTAAATTTGCCTGATCGAATAGAATAAAATAGAATAGATAGAACAGAATTGAATAGAATAGCAGAATGGAACAGAATAGAAAACAGAACAGAGTAGAATAGAATAGAATAGAACAGGATAGAATAGAATAGAATAGAGAAAAACTGTGTATATGTATGGATAGATTTCTGTTGTTTTTAGTCTAGATGAAATGATTAAGAAGCTCTAGCTTCAGACAAGAAAGTATCGTAAATGCCGGAAAGACTTGTGTTGCTTGTTACGCAGCAAATCATCTTTTGGATGTCGCTGATCTAGGTTGCAACGGACACAAATATAACCTCTGAACATACGCTTTATCAATGGTCCTAACTAAAATAATCTGAGAGTACAAGTATCGTGTTGTTCCGCACAAAATCATGGATATTGCTATTCTAGGTTGTAGCGGACACACACACACCTACATTTCCACAGAGACTCGTGGCTCAAAAGTGGCTGCATAATTTGCTTCAACTTAATCGTTACAATCAGACGATAGAAATTTATGGCACTTTGGGGTTATTTCTCGTAACAAACCAGTGGTCAATAATCAATGGCCCCCAACTACAACAGCACCTGCAAGAAAACTAAACGAATAAAACTGTTTAGTTTAACATTTTTGCCTATTATGTTGGTGCCCTCCCCTAATTCAGACTGCGAACCACTTCACGAATTCGATTTTAATTCGAGGTTACTTAAATTTGCTAAAGTACTCAAACTATTGCCCGGCCGTCTTATTTGAAACCGCACACATTCACACAGTTAAATACAGAAGCCAATTTCCTTTTAAGCGCATAATGGGATCAAAAGCACCAGGGCTCATTAGGCCCACA